CCTGCCACTAAACTGATGTGCAAAAAAGTATTATGAAGAAAACGGGTCTCAAGTTTTCCATTAGGCAAGATGGATGGCTCGTCTTGAGTTGCTTGTTTACATCTCGATCCTCATGCTTTTTTGAAAGCTGCCCTGTCTTTGATTCACCTTTCTTAGGTGATTACTAACGATCACGTCAACCGCAACATGCTCATCATTAGTATTTAAAGAGTCCAACTAATCCTATTCATATCCAGGTGGTGCTCATGAGTTATATAAAATAAAAATTAATATAAGTATGATAATTGCACCAATAGTCCCACAACACAGATGGCTTATCATTCATCTGGAAAATAAAATGCAGAACCGTGTAATGTCACTCGCTCCCTCCATAGTCCTTATTAGGATGCGTGGAGCCTAACTATCCGACTTGCCCTATACCTTATTGTTGAGGATCGACGTCGTCGATCTTTGGTTCAAAAGCCTGACCAACCAGTCCGTTCTTCTTCTCTTGTGCATCACCAAGAACACAAAAGGGGGAAAGCAACTATTCCACTGTCTCTCCACTCACCTCACAAAGGGTGAAAGCACAAAGCTTTAGAAGGGAGAGGATTGATTGCACAAAGCAGAGGAGAGCACAAAGCTCAGGGTCTTCTTCATTGTCACTCTCAATCTCCTCCCAAGCTACTACTAGCCCTTCGACCTAAAAAGAGAAGGGGGCAGCCGACACGGGAGAGAAGCCTAGGGTTTCAAATGGTAGGAGCCGACCTACAAGGATGAGAGATGGAACTCACAGCGGCTACAGAGCAGGACAAAGGGATGGAAAGGAGGCTACCGACTTAGGGTTCAGTATCATCGCGTAGGAGGAGAGGTTTAGAGATAAGCTGAAACAAATATTATGCGGAACTGGGCCTTTTGGTAACGGGCTAGATTTTGGGCCAACAAAAATAGCAACAATCTCCACATTTGGCCCAAGGTAGTGCACAGAGGAAAAAAAACACGGAATTGCAAGACTCATCATCGCCAAACCATTACCCGTATGATCACAAAGAAGATACAAGCAATGGAAGAGAATACACAAAGTAAACTCAGATCACACAGATCGGGGCAAGATCACCAAGCATGCCAAGTCCACAAAGGACCAAACTCTACCAAACAGTCATCGAGTTCAAAGGGAAAATATCACAAAGCTACTAACAAGCACAAAGCAAGTTAATAGGCCACAAAGGAAACACACAAAGCAAAGGAAAATTACCCAAAATCAAAATTCAAGATTCTTTGATACGAGATAAACTTTTCAGCAGGCAAACACTTAGTACCCATGTCAGTAAGATTAAATTGTGAGGGAATTTTCTCTAACTTGATAATACCATTTTTAACTATATCCCGAATGTAATGAAATCTAACATTAATATGTTTAGTTCTATCATGAAAAACAGGATTTTTGCAAAGTTGAATAGCAGATTGACTATAAAAAAATACAATCACATTATTATCAAGAAAACTAATTTCAAATATAAGGCCCCTAAGCTAAATAGCTTCTTTAAAAGCTTCAGTGGCAGCAACATACTCAGATTCAGTAGTAGATAAAGCAACAATGGGTTGTAATTGGGATTTCCAACTTATGCAAGAGCCACACAAAGTAAACACATAAGAAGTGGTAGATTTTCTATTATCCCTATCATTTACATAATTGGAATCTACATAGTCAACTAGTTTAACACCTTCAGAACACTTAAAGAATGTTAATCCTACATCCACAGAGGATTTTAAATATCTTAAAAGCCGTTTCAAGGAATTCCAATGAGGCATACCAGGATTTGACATATATCTACTCAAGCAACTAACCGCATATGCAATGTCAGGCCTAGTACTAACCATGAGATACATGATTGATCCTATAGCATTCGAATATGACACCTTCTTCATATCATTTATTTCAGTTTCAGTCTTGGGGAACTGATCCTTACTTAACACAAAATGGGAAGCAAGAGGCACATTCACAGATTTGGCATCAAACATAGCGAATTTACTCAAAAAAATTTAGCATATGAACTTTGGTTTAAAACTAGAGTAAATTTGTTTTTGTCCCTAATAATATTCATACCTAGAATTCTTTTTTGCATCGCCTAAGTCTTTCATGTCAAAATTTTCACAGAGACATTTTTGAACATGCTCAATAGACTTCAAACAAGGACTAGCAATCAACATGTCATCCACATAAATTAAAAGAAATACAGGCACAGAGTCTATATTCTTATAATACAAGTAATGATCGGCAGAACTCCTTTTAAACTTTAAAGGTTGCATGTATTTATCAAATCTAATATTCCATTGCCTAGGTGATTGTTTTAAACCATACAAAGCCCTTTTTAACAAACACACATGATAAGGCAATTTAGGGTCCACAAAGCCCTCAGGTTGGTGCATATAAATATTTTTATCAAGATCACCATGCAAGAAAGCAGTAGTTACATCCATTTGTTTTAATTCTCAATTAAAATGAGCAACTAAAGCAAACATAAGTCTAACAGTAGTGAATTTGACAATAGGAGAAAAAATTTCAGCATAATCAATTCTCTCCTTTTGAGTAATTCCCTTAGCTACTAACCTAGTCTTAAACCTAACACTTTCAGATTCTTGGTTCACCTTAAATAGCCACTTACAGTCCACTACAGAACAACTAGCAGGTTTAGGAATAAGTTTCCATGTTTGGTTCATTCTTAGGGATTCCATCTCACTCTTCATAGCACTAATCCATCTTCAGAATATTTTGACCTTAATGCTTCTCTATAAGTCTTAGGTTCATTGCACTCAATAGATTCAAACACGTTAAAGACAAACTCAGACATATTACAATCAATCAAATTATAATCTTTATATCTTTTAGGTTTCCTAATGGTTCTTTTATTTCTATCCCTAGTGAGTTGATAATCATTCAAATCATCCATGTTATCTATTTCCTACATATCATGCTCTACCTCATTAGGAATAATCTCATCTTGATTTTCAATAATTATATCATTTAATTTTTCTTCAGGAGGTGATTCAGGTTGATTAATAATAGGCATTTACTCCACCTCATTTGGAGCATCATTTTTAAGAATAGGGACATGTAAGGTAAACAAGGAAATTCATTTTTATTAAAAACAACATCTCTACTTATCAGTACATTGAACCCCGGTTCACTCTTATTCCAAAGCCTATAACCTTTTACCCATTCAGGATATCCTAAGAAAACACATTTCTTAGATCTAGGTTCTAACTTATCAATCTTTTGTTGCATATAGCCAGCACTCTCGAAAATTCTTAAATTATTTAAATCAAGAGGTTTGTCCGTGAACACAAATTCAGGGCATTTCCCTCCTAAAGAAACAGAAGGAGACCTATTAATTAAATAGGTCGCAGTATAAACAGTTTCTCCCCAGAACTTCTTAGAGAGCCCAGATGTGGCCAATATAGCCCTCACCCTATCTAAGAGAGTTCTATTCATCCTTTCAGCAACCCTATTTTGCTGCGGTGTGTAGGGCAACAAATTTATGCCTTTTAATACCCCAGGTAGCCCACACAAGTGCATTCAATTGCTTTGTTACAAAACTCAAGACCATTGTCTATTCTAAGATTTTTAATTTTCTTTCCCGTTTGGTCAATCATAATTTTCTAGTTTTTAAATTTATCAAAAACTTTAGATTTTTGTTTCATGAGTAAAACCCAAACTTTCCTAGAATAATCATCAATTATGAAAAGAAAATATTGGTTCCCTCTATGCGTAGGAACACTAGAGGGACCCCACACATCAGCATGTAAATATTCAATTATATCAGTGCACTTAGACTGGTTAGGAAAAGAAGAAATAGGAAAATTAACCATATGTTGTTTTCCTAGCACACAAGATTCACAAAAAGGAATGGGGGATATTTTATCACTATCAAAGTGACCTCTTTTATGCAAAATTTTTAATCCTTTATTACTCATGTAACCTAATCTATTATGCCATAAAACAGATTTATCACCTATCACAGAGTTAACAGAATCAAGCACCGGTTCAGCATGACAAATATACAGGTTATTTTGTTTTTTAGCAGTAAAAACAACAAGAGACCCTTTCAGAATTTTCATAACCCATTTATCCTATTTTTCCTCCAAACCATCATTTTCTAGAGATGCACAAGAAATCAAGTTATAACATAAATCAGGAACATGCATAACATCCTTCAAAGTAAACACAGAACCAAAAGAAAACCTAAGACATACATCACCAGTTTCTAAAACATTGCATTTCTTTTCATTTACCATTGACACAAAGTCATTCTCTATTTTCCTGTAGTTTGAAAACAAGTTTTTAAAAGGAGTCATATGAAAAGTACAACCAGAGTCTACTAA